ATAAAATACATGAGGTTGTTCCAATTTTTTTGTATCTGTTCAGATTTGCTTTGTGACCGAGCATGTGGTCAATTTTAGAGAAGGTTCCATGGGGTGCTGAGAAGAAGGTATATTCTTTTGTGTTGGGGTGAAATGTTCTGTAGATATCTTTTAAGTCCAATGAATCATAAATTCTGTTAGGTCCTTATTTGTCTGTTGTTTGAGACTTGCAGATCTAACCAGTGGTGAGAGTGGGGTGTTGAAATCTACTACTAGTGTGTGGGGTTTGATGTGTGATTTAAGCTTTAGTAATATTTCTTTTACAAATGTGGGTTCTTTTGTATTTGTGGCATAAATGTTCAGGATTGAGACTTCATCTTGGTGGATTTTGTCTGTAATAAGTATGTAAAGTCCTTCCCAATTTCTTTTGATTGATTTTACGTTGAAGTCTATTTTATTAGATAGTAGGATAGCTACACCAGCTTCCTTTTTAAGTCCATTTGATTAGAAAGTCTTTTCCAAGCCTTTCACTCTGAGGTAGTATCTGTCTTTAAAGTTGAGGTGTGGTTTTTGTATGCAGCAGAAGGATGGATCCTCTTTTCTTATCCATTCTGTCAGCTTATGTCTTTTTATTGGTGAAATAAGACATTGATATTAATGGATATTAATGACCAGTGATTGTTTATTCCTGTTATGTTTTGTTAGTAGTGTTGTGTGTTTCTCTTCTTTGGTATTTGTTGGTGTGGGATTATCTATTGCCTGTGTATAAATGGGTGTATCTAACTTCCTTAGGTTGGAATTTTCCTTCTAGTGCTTTCTGTAGGGCTGCATTTGTGGATAGGTATTGTTTAAATCTGGTTTTATGATGGAATATTTTGTTTACTCCATCTATCGTGATTGAGAGTCTTGCTGTATATAATAGTCTGGGTTGACATCCATGGTCTCTTAGTGTCTGCATAAAGTCTGGCCAGGACCTTCTGGCTTTCAGAGTTTCCATTGAGAGTTCAAGTGTTATTCTGATGGGTCTGCTTTTACATGTTACTTGGTCTTTTTCCTTTGCAGCTCTTAATACTTTTTTCTTTATTCTGTATGTTTAGTGGTTTGATTATTAGGAGGCAAGGGGTCTTTCCTTTTGGATCCAATCTATTATGTGTTCTGTAAGCTTCTTGTCTCTTCATAGGCATTTCCTTCTTTATGTTAGGAAAGTTTTCTTCTATGATTTTCTTAAGTATATTTTCTGTGCCTTTGAGTTGGTATTCTTCTCCTTCTTCTATCCCTATTATTTTTATGTTTGGTCTTCTCATGGTGTCCCAAATTTCCTGAACGTTTTGTGTTATGACTTTTTTGGCTTCATTGTTTTCTTTGACTGATGAATCTCTTTTCTCTATCGTATATTCAGCACCAGAGATTCTCTCTTCCATCTCTTGCATTCTGTTGGTTATGCTTGCATCTGTAGTTCCTGTTCATTTATTCAGATTTTCCATTTCCAGCCTTCCCTCAGTTTGTGTCTTCTTAATTGCCTCTATTTCAGTTTTCAAATCTTGGACTTTTTCATTCACCAGTTTAAATGCTTTTTCTTGGCTTTCTTTAAGAGATTTATTGATTTTTTCCAATTATTTTGTTTGTCTTTTCTTCGAATTCTTCAAGGATAGTTTTCATTTCATCTTTAAAGGCTTCTATCATCTTCCTCAAGTCATTTTTAAGGTCTATGTCTTCTGCTTCTTCTGCTTTGAGATGTTCAGGTCTTGCTGGTTTGGCACCACTAGGCTCTGATGGTACCATATTGCTCTTTATGTTGTTGACTGGATTTTTGCACTGGTATCTACCCATCTCTTCCAACACTCCATCCAAGTGCTGTCTATGTCTGAGGGAGCCTCTTTTTGCCCCATTGACACTTTTGGTTTAATGAGAGCTCTTGGTCTAATCTGGGCTCCTGGTGCAATTGGTGCTGATGGGTTCTGTGTCTAAAGGCACAGATCTTAATCCAATGGGCCCCAGTAAGCTCTGTCTCTGGAAGCAGCTATTCCCTTATGTCTCCGGTTTTCACTGGTGTCATTGGGAGCTGGGTTTTTTTTTTTTTTTTTTGGCCAGGGGGCAGGTGAAGAGGCAGCTAGCTGGTCCCTGGGGCTCCAATGGCTTGGGGGATGGGCACGGGGTGTGCTCCTGGGGTCTGCCCAGTCTGAAGACAGGGCTTTACCTATTCCCAATCTGTGCAGTGTGTGCTTATGTCTCCAGTTTTCACTGGTGTCACAGAGGCGATAAATGAAACTTCTAAGACAAAAACTGACAACAGTGATCTGAGGGTATAAACATAAGAATCTAGAAGGCAATTAGATTGCCATCATATTCCATTTTGTAGCAACAGCAGTTGTGGTGATATTGTCTTCCCCAATATATTGTGCACACTAATAAACTTATCTTGACTCAGACAACAGAACAGTCATGAGATAGACAGAGGCCAGAAAATAGTGGTACACACACCTTTAATCCTAGCATTCTGGAGGCAGAGATCCACCTAGATCTTTGTGAGTTCAAAGCTACACTGGAAAAAGTCAGGCATGGTGACACATGCCTTTAATCCCAGAAAGTGGTGCCAAGAGGCAGAATGGTATATAAGCTGTGAGGACCAGGAACTAGAGCCTTTTTAAGCTTTTAGCATTTAGAAGCAATTTAGCTGAAATCCATTTGGATGAGGACTCAGAGGCTTTCAGTCTGAGGAAACAAGATCAGCTGAGAAGTTGGTGAGGTGAGATTATCTGTGGCTTGTTCTATTTCTCTGATCTTTCAGCATTTACCCCAATACCTGGATCCTGAGTATTTTATTAATAAGACCTTTAGAGATTCCTGCTATAAACAGTAGTTTTGTACACTAGTGCTTATGACATGCTTTTATCAGTTTTAAAATACTGAATATGGAGAGATGGCTCAGGCATTAAGAAAACTAACTTCTATCAGGGAAGACCAGGGTTCAATTCCTAGTATCCAAGTGGTACTGAAACTCATCTCTAAATCAAATCTCATTGGACCTGATGTCCTCTTCTGGGCACTTCAGGCACTGCACATCTTTAGTACAGATGTGTTACAGATATACATGGAAAAATGCTATTGAAATGTTCAAGTTAGAACCAAATATAGGGGCATATGGTGGAAGGAACTTTCCATTGGGAAAAGAGAATTACAGTGGTCTTTTGCTTATATTTCAGAATACACAATCAAGGAGAGATATTTCCATGATATTCAATTAATGCTCAGACTAATAATACCTAGTCCTTCAGTATTTGTGATAATTTAATGATTATTATTTCATGTCACTTCTTTTCAAAATAGCTTGGGCTGAAGGTACTTGTAAGTGCAAAGCTGGTCTAAGGAAAAGTTAACCAATATAGCCCTCTGCTGCTGAAAATTTTCTTGTGTCCCTCCTAGTATGTGACTGCTCAGACCCAAGTAAACACACAGAGGCTTAATTTAATTAAAACTGCTCAGTAATTATCTCAGGCCTACCACTGACTGTCTCTTACACTTAAACTCAGCCCATTTCTGTTAATCTATGTGTTGTCACGTGTTTCAAGTGGTGTCCCCTGACTCAGCCTTCCTCATCCCAGCATTCTCCTTGTCTGCTTATCCTGCCTATACTTCCTGTCTGACTACTGGCCAATCAGAATTTTATTTATCAACCAGTCAGAGCAACACATTTACAGCATGCAGAACAATATCACCCATCAGCCCTCCTATATGTACTCTATTGTTCTGGTTGCATTTTGGCAACATGAAACATAGGTAGACATAGTGAGCAAGAAAAACCTCAGTTGAGAAAGACATCTATCAGCTTACATGTAGAAAGGCTGTGGGGCACTTTCTTCATTAGTTACTGAGCTCAACTCACTGTGGTTGGTGCCAAACCTGGGCAGTCAGTCCTGGGTTGTATTTGAAACTAGGCTGAGCAACCATGGTGAGCAAGCCAGTAAGTGGCATTCCTCCATAGGTTTGGCTTCAGTTCCTGCCTTCAGGTTCCTGCCTTGTTTCCTGCCTTAACTTCTCTCAGTGACAGACTGTGGCCTGAGAGTTGGAAGATTAATAAACCTTCTACATCACAAGTTGCTTTTGTTCATTGTCTTTATCACAACAATATAAACCTAAGAAACCTACTTTTTCTGTACTGACTTGGAGAATACTTTTGGTTTCCTGTAGCTAGAGTTTTCCTGCCTGGCCCACAGTCACTCAGACCCAACCAAGTAAACACAGAGACTTAAATTGCTTATAAACTGTATGGCCATGGCAAGCTTCTTGCTAACTGTTCTTACAGCTTAAATTAATCCATTTCTATTAATCTATACCTTGCCATGTGGCTCGTGGCTTACTGGCATCTTCATATGCTGTTTCTCATCATGGCAGCTGGCAGTGTCTCTCTGACTCAGCCTTCTACTTCCCAGCTTTATTCTCCTCCTTGTCCTGCCTATACTTCCTGCCAATGGCCAATCAGTGATTTATTTATTGACCAATCAGCAACACACTTGACATACAGACCATCCCACAGCAGTTTCCTACCTGTCTTTTCACATAGAAAGACATATTTTTTTTCTACAGAGGAAATCATATTGAAATGAAGATTGTAATACAATAGCTTTATCCCACACAGATGGCTGTATGTATCTTTAATTTGGAGGCATTTTACATATTTTATTTATCACATATGTGTGCCTGTGTATGTATGTGTACTGCATGTGTGCAAGTACTCACAGAGAACAGAAGAGGGCATCAGATACTCCGAATTGCAGTTACTGGCAGTTGTGAACCACCTAATGTGGTTGCTGGGAATTGAACCAGAGTCCTCTACAAGAGGAGCAAGTGGTGTTAACCACTGAGCCATTGTTCCAGCTCCTGTTTGAGGAAATAGCATGAAATCTGCCACCTAGAAGAGGGTTAGTAGCTGTTAAGAAATATTGTCTATTTCATACAGGTTTTATAACTGTTAAGATAAAAAATCTAATGGAGAACAAAATCTATTTTTCTTGATATTTTAGTCTATTGGTCCACCTGGATTTATGAAAAAAGGTATAGTAAGATCTGAGAATGAAGAATGGAAAAGAATTCGATCATTGCTGACACCAACCTTTAGCAGTGGAAAACTGAAGGATGTAAGTTAATGAAGAACATTTTATTGTAAATGTAACAGAATCTATCAGAGGACTGGTAGAAATAATATCACACTACTTAAAGAGCTGTTGCTTTGTTCATTACACTGCTAGTGGTGGTCCTTTTTTGTTTTGTTGTTGTTATTTTGTCTTATATAGTACTTTTAAAAATGATGATCTTTTTATAATTTCAAAAGACTTGTTATTTGGGGACTCAGATGTTGCCATTTACCAGGAGACTATGTTGTGTTTTGTGCTTAGATGTTCCACATCATCCAAGAGTATGGAGATGTGCTGGTGAAAAACATGAGTCGGGAAGTAGAGAAGGGCAAGAGTGTTACCATGAAAGAGTGAGTAGTGATGCATGCATTCCCTGGGGACTCTGTATCCCATCTGGAGACCTCCCTCTGTCTGACAGGTAGCTAAAATTATTGCAGATCAAGAGTAAGGGAGAGGCATGATGTTACCCTGCTGTGAACCACACATTAAGTAAAATTTCCCACAATAACATTTGAGATTCTCTCCCTTGTGTACGTGATACAAAATTAGGTTACCTGTTGTCATCTTGTATGTTTTAGAAGACAGTTATGTAGTTTAGAACGAAAGAGTAAAATTTAGGAAAGCTGCAGATGTGGGGATTAAGAAACGTGGGAGGAGGATTTATGTGCTACATCAGAGGTCATTGGTTTGGCAAGAATATTATAGATGTAAATTTCAACAATGTAAATCATGAGGTTTTGCTGAGTGTCTTAGAAAAATATCAGCAAGAAATAAATTTCTTTTGCCTCTCTTTTATCTAACTAAAAAGGGAGAAGTTTCTGGAAATGGTGTGGGTAGTAAAATCATGCTGAAAACACCATGGTTGTAAACTCAGGCTGTGCTGATATTACTGCAGACAAATTGTCACATACCTCAGAGGTTGTGAGAGTAACACATTAACTCCCATATTTCTCTACTCAGCATCTTTGGGGCCTACAGCATGGATGTGATCACTGGTACCTTATTTGGAGTGAAGGTGGATTCCCTCAACAATCCCCAGGATCCCTTTGTGAGAAACACCAGAAAGCTTTTTGTAATTGATTTTTTCAATCCATTGGCTTTCTCTCAAGGTATGCAGTCTATTTTCAACTATATTAAGATCTTAGATTTCTTTTAATTAGCATACAACGTAAAGAGGTTCCTCATAGCATATCCATACACAATTATTATCTCCCTCATCTTTTTTTGTTAAGTGCTGCTATTTTATTTTACTGAACTTCTTTCTTTTTTAATTATTATTTTATTTTATAATTTTTTAATTTTACATATCACCCATGGATTCCCCTGTCCTCTTTCCTTCCACCCTCCCCCCAACCTTCCCCCCAATATACCCCTCATTCCCACCTCCTCCAAGGCAAGGTCTCCTTGGGGATTCATCACAGCCTGGTAGATTCAGTTGAGGCAGGTCCAGTCTCCTCCTCCCTACACTAAGGCTGAGCAAAGTGTCTCAGCATAGGCCCTAGGTTCCAAAAAGCCATCTCATGCACTAAGGACAGGTCCTGGTCCCACTGCCTGGTAGATTCCTGAATAGTTCAAGCTAATCAACTGTCTCACTTATCCAGAGGGCCTGATCCAATTCCATGGGGGCTCCTCAGCTACTGGTTCATAGTTCATGTATTTCCACTAGCTTGGCTATTTGTCCCTGTGCTTTTCCAATCATGGTCTCAATATTTCTTAATCATATAATTCCCCCTCTCTCTTGCCTATTGGACTCCTGGAGCTCCATTTGGGGCTTGGCCATGGATCTCTGCATCTGCTTACATCAGTCACCAGATGAGAGTTCTATCGTGTCAGTTAGGCTGTTCAGCCATGTGATCACCAGAGTAGGTCAGCTCAGGCTTTCTCTTGCCCATTGCCAGTAGTCTATTGTGGAGGTATCTTTGTGGATTTATGGGGACCTCTCTAGCACTTTGCTTCTTCCTATTCCCATGGGGTCTTCATTTATCATGGTATCTCTTTCCTTGTTATCCCACCATGTTCCTGATCCAGGTGGGACCTCCCACTCACCTAAGCTCTCTTTCCCCCGATACTTGCCCTCAATTACCCCCCTACATCCAGTTTGCTCATGTTGATCTCATCCATTTCTCTGTCATTGTGCAATCCCTGTGTCTTTCTTAGGGTCCTCTTTACTAGTAACCTCCCGGGAGTTGTGAGTTGCAGTCTGGTTATTTTGGTTTACATCTAGTATCCACTTATGAGTGAGTACATACCATGTTTGTCTTTCTGAGTCGGGGTTACCTCACTCAGGATGATTTTTTCTAGATCCATCCATTTGCCTGCAAACCCTCATGATGTCATTGTTTTTATCTGCTGAGTAGTACTCCATTGTGTATATGTACCACATTTTATTTATCCATTCTTAACAGACAAATATCTCCCTAATCTTACCTTCACTCTTGTACAATCTGGTTCTTTTATCACCCTTTTAATTTTAATATCACATGTGTTTATCTATCATTGCCAGATTCTTGGTATTTTTTGATAGCTATGAGATAATCATGTGATTTCTGTCTTTGAGCCATTAATGTCATGATTTAGATTTATACATTTATATATATTGAATCATTCATCCAACTCTTGAAGGAAACTTGAATCAAAGTTAAATTAATGTCATCTATTTCGAATGTTTCTCTGGTTATTTGTTATGGATAGTATATTTATTTTAAAAATGGATGTAGAAGTCACTCAAAATTATATTGCAGAATTTATTCTGTGACATTATATCTGATAACATTTGTTTTATGAAATGGAGTGCACATATTGATGCATATATATTTCGAGTAGCAATTTTGTGTGGGTAAATGGTTTTCTTAAAGTGTATAAAGTAATTTTCTACATCCATGTGGCTAGCTTTATTGATATTGGAATAGTGATGCATGCTTATTTCCTACATTGGTATTTGGTATTTGGGTACATTTCTTAGTGTAAGGAAAAAGCATTATGCTTGCTAATCCAATCTGCTAGTCTGTGTAATATTTACTTATCTTTTAATTTAAAGACAGGTTCCATGTATTCCTAACTGGTCTAGGACTGGCTATGGAGACAAGATTTTTTTGAATTCCATAGTGATCTGCCTGCCTCTGGCTCTTGAGTGTTGAGATTAAAGCATATATCACTATATTTAGCCTTAGTCTGTTTCCTTTGATAAAGGAATATAGACTTTTAATATTCAGACTTCTTATTGAAAGAATTGCAAAGATTCCTGACATTTTATTGTTTTTCTCCTGTCTGGTATTGTCTTGGCCCTCTTTTCTTAACAGGTGTCTTAGTATCATTATTTTTCCTCTAGCCCCTTGTCTGTATTTACTTTTTTCTTCTGTCCAATCCAACCTTTACATTATGTAATGCAAGCAGAATTCATTGTGAAAAATTCTATAGCATGACATATCATGGATAGGTCTTTTTCTCCTGTGATTATAATAAATAGGAATTTAATATGTATACATGTATTGTACATATGTTGTTTAGTAGCTCTTATTTTCCAAACATGAAATACAAATTTCTATGCTATCCTGGCATTTGTTTTTCCATTTTGATGTTCAGGAGTTACGCTCATGGATGTGTCTTTATATGTGACTTTGTTCTTCTCAAAGCTTCCAGTATACTTTCTTTATTCTGTGTATTCACATTCATTTTTAAAGTAAAATGGAACATTTCTTTTCTGGTCATTTTATCTGTGTTATACTCTTTATCTATTTTGGATCTTGATGGACATTCTTTCAGCATGGAACTCCGGTTCTATGATTTCATTGATAATATTTTCTATGCCTTTGACATGGAATTCTTGTCATTGCTCTATGCTGGAAGTCATAGACTTTTTTCTTATATACTCAAAACTTAGAAATGTTTAACAAAGTGATCACTGTTCATGACTGAATGATCTTATTATTCTGCCTTGCCTTCATTCCCTCACCTTCTGTCTTCTCTGTGATCCACTCTATCTGATCCTTTCCACGGAAATTTGTATTTGACTTCGTGAAACTGTAATTTATGTCATTTTATTTTGTTTTTTTATGTATATCTATCTCTTTATCAAATTACATCTTAATATGTAGATTCAATTTCCTTATTTCTTTCATCTTTTGGTGTTTCCTTGGGATTAATTCAGGAGATAGTCATGTGTTCATCTTTCTCCCTTCATTTGGAGTTTTTTCAGTGTTCAGGAAAGACTTGGCTGTAGCAGGGTTGAAATGATGTTTTCTTCTCTTAGGCTTGTGTTCAGGGCTCCAATCTTTTCTCCCAGCGGTCCTCTGATAGGTGATTTGTGTTTGCAATGACAGTTATCATCAATCATCAAAACCTCTATGAAATTAGTATAGCAGTTGACTTCAAAACAGTCATTAGACATTTTTTAAGGGCCAACTGTATATGGAGAAAAGGAAGACTCCATTCTCTCTATACTAACATGTTACATGTTGTGGGTATAAGTAGAAATAAAGGGAGAATATAGGAAATAAGTCACGGTGAGATTAGTGATTAATAGCGTGTTACTAAGTGGGACATAGAAGAGCAGCAAAAACATCATGATAGATAGAGTAAAATCTGGGGGTACAGAAAGATTTCACAGTTTGGGTTAAAGGTAAATTGGAAAAAGAGAGGTAAGACTGTACAGTTATATCATGTAGAATAGTCCTATCTCTCAGGAAACTGAGCCACAGAAGCCCTGTAACCAGGACATTCTGTGTTACTAAGATGGAAGAAAGGATGAATGAAAACATTTCCAAAAGCAAAAAATTACATAAGATGTGAATATTGAGAAACTGGGCCTACCTTCCTACATTGACCTTGGGTGTGGTATAAAAAAGGTATAGCTGTAGGAGGAAATGCAATTTAGTGGACCTATTGGATCATAAAAGTAAATGTCCAGAATATTGGGTTATCTCATCACTGCGAGACCCTCTGCACTGTTCTCCCCAAAAGTTCTGCTCCATAATATTATTTATGTTGACTTTCAGCATCAAGTTCTTCCTGGACCATCCTCCATGACTGTGATAGGTGATGATGGACCAGTGTGCAGTGGTTGGACCATGATTATTTAGTTTGATCATTTTGTAAATGATGTTTTCTTTATAATCATTGGTCTTATTTGTTACATTAGATATGAAAACACTAAAGTAGAGGAACAGGACTGTGTCAACAGTGTTGGGGAATATTTTTAATCCCTGCAGTAGAGCAATAGAGGGGGGAAGAATTGAGTTCTTGCCCTATCCTACATTAAATCAAGATTCTTCCTCAAACTCAGATGCTAGAGTTGGAGCTCTATGACATGGTGCTAGGCTAGTATGCAAAAGGCTATGCCTTTCATCACCAACACTGCAATTTTTCTTAATATTTAAGCAGATTCTATTTAGTAATCAAGTCTGCTTTCAAATTTGTGCTTCTTTGACTCAGCCTCCAGAGAAGACAATTGCAATTTATTTTCATGTATGTTTTGTGTATTAATGCTGTAGCATAAAAGATATATACATGCACCTGCTTTTTGGTTCTAATTACGGAGTAGAAGTAATGATAGAGTGAGAAAACTTTCATTGTCTAAGTAAAGACTTACTCCTTCAATTTCTATGTTGGCTCTTAGTTTCCATTAACAATTCTCATAAAGTTAAGGGAAACTCCTGCTGATCTCAAATTTCTGAGAACATTTCTTAGGAAAGAATGGTAGGTTTTATTTGAAAATTTTCAAAATACTCCATCTCTGCTTGCTTGTGTGAGTTGGATTTATTCTGTGTTGTGCCTCATTGAGTAGCATACAACAGAATTCTTTTCATGTTTCTGCATTCCATTGGTAAATGTTTTACTGATAATATGTCTTTGGTATATTTAAGTCATATTTCTACACAGGTTTCCACCACAAAATATATTCTGATTTTAGTAACAGGGCAATCGAAGCAACCAGATTCAATTCTTCACTTTCCCCTAGTTTTGTAAGTTTTAGAAATGCCTGTGAAGGACTGGAAAGAATTGTCTGATAAATATTTCATAGAATTGCACACTGAATCTTCCTGGAGCTGAACTCTTCTTTTTGTGTTTTTATTTGAAATTCAATTACTTTTAGGACTGATATACTTTTTATGGATTTTTTATGTGCAATTGCATGCACTTGAAACTCATTTATTAAGTTTTGTTTTAAATACAGAATTATAATACATAGATATTTCTTTAGATGGGAAGAAAGTAAGTACTTGGATTTCAGTACATTTTCTTGATATATAACAAAACATATGACCTTAGCATTAACGCTGTGTTTTTTTAAATATTTTTTAATTTTATAATTTAATTTAATTTTACATATCAGCCACAGATTCCCCTGTCCTCCCCCTTCCGCTCTCTCCCCTGCTTTTCCCCCAGCCCACCTCCCATTTCCAACTCCTCCAGGGCAAAGACTCCCCTGGGGATTCAGCTCAACCTGGTAGATTCAGTCTAGGCAGGTCCAGTCCCCTCCTCCCAGGCTGAGCAAAGTATCCCTGCATAAGCCCTAGGTTCCAAACAGCCAGCTCATGCACTAAGGACAGGTCCTGGTTCCACTGCCTGGGGGCCTCCCAAACAGATCAAGCTAATCAACTGTCTCACTTATCCAGAGGGCCTGATCCAGTTGGGAGCTCCTCAGCTATTGGTTCATAGTTCATGTGTTTCCAATAGTTTGGCTATTTGTCTCTGTGCTTTTTCCAAGCTTGGTCTCAACAGTTAAACTCATTTCTACCACAATTATTCCTGTTGTTTTGATATTTCACTTAAATTATTGAAATTTTACAATTGGTGAATAAAATAACTGTCAAAAGCTTAAAATTTTCTTTATTCATTTTTCTTTTCTATGCAGCACTCTTTCCATTCCTTTCCAGAATATATAACAAATTAAATGTCTGCATATTTCCAAGTGATGCTACATCATTTTTTAAGAAATTTATAGAAAAGACCAAAAAAGATCGACTTGAAAATACCCAAGAGGTAAACTAAAAAAGTTTATTTTATTCCTATGGTAATGATGTCAAAAGACACACATTCCTTATAGAAAGCCCTTTTCAGATATTTGATGTATTTGGTCTGTTAAATTTCTAACATGCCTTGAATTCTGCCAATATCTTTGAGCATTGAGATTGCCACTTGTATAACCCAGTTTTGCTTAATACAGTGCACATGCTGGATTAAGGATAAGGACGTTGGGAGAAAAAATGCTGATAGAAGGCTGTCAGGGATTCAGCATCATGTGTGAGGAGGTGCCACTGCTTATTTGCTAGTATTCTGGGGTTTGGAACATTTGTAGGTGTGGTTGTTTGAAAGAAAGCGGCTCCCAAAGGGAGTGGCACCATTAGGAGGTGTGATTTTTTGGAGTAGGAGTGGCCTTATTGGAGGAAGTGTGTCACTGTGTAGGTGGGCTTTGATCTCATATATTCTCAAGACACGCCCAGTGTCTCAGACCACCTGCAGTTGCCTGTCAAGGTGTAAGAACTCTCGGCTACCTCTCTAGCACCATGTCTGCCTGTACACTGCCTTGTTTTCTGCCATCATGCAAATGGACTAAATCTCAGAACTGTGAGTAAGCCACCAGATTTAAAGGTTTTCATTTACAAGAGTTGCCAAAGTGATGGCATCTCTTCACATCAATAGTGACCCTAACTAAGAGAGTTAGCAATCACATAAAACATAGCAGTCAGTTGAAGAAACACCAGTTGATGAGTATGAGATATTGGTTAACAAAATGTCAAGGAGAAGAAACTACAACTATGCAGCCAGGAGTCTGTCATCAACAGCTACAGGTGCTTAGAATGAGGGAAAGCAATGAGAAATGGTGTTGGACATGGCAGCATGATACACTACCCTGGTAGACTTATTTTAAAAAATATTTTTTCATGACAAGGTCTCTGAGTAGCCCTGGCTATCTCGAACACATTTTATAGACCAGGCTGGACTCAAACTCAAAGATTAACCTGCCTCCTAAAGTGCTGGTGTGAAAGTGTGTGCCATCACAACTGGCCTTATGATGAACTTTTTGTTCCTGGAAACGTATGGGTCAGTGTTTTGTGTTACTAGTAATTGAGACAACATTAGCTGAACTCTTAAATGATCTATTTCCTCTCATGAGAGTTAAACTTCTACATTTCATCCTTATTTTTGGCCTGCCAACCCACTTTCTGCTTTTAAAATTTCTGTCTCCTTTCAGCACCGAGTGGATTTTCTTCAGCTGATGATGGACTCCCAGAATTCCAAGGACATGGAGTCCCATAAACGTAACTACAGATAATTTAGGGTCTAAAGGGAATGCACAGAGGGAGGGGCTGATTCTTGAAATGTAAAGGGGTCATTCAAGCAGAAAAAGCTTCCTACTAATTCACAGAAAGACAAAGACATGCTGTTATAGGCAGCAGACTGAGGCACTTTCTAAAATCATGGTGTATATGCATACAGAATACATTATGTATATTGTACCTTCCCTCTGTGACTGAGAAGCTAAAACCATGAAATCTCATCAACATGGCTACCTAACCTAGACCTGAACAGTTGACATTTCAACTTAGATGGGGAAAATTTTATGAAAACTAATCCATAGATGAAGAGATGCAGGTAGTTCAGGTCATCTGAGAGAGAGAGAGATAATTAGTCTTTCCAAATGATGAGCCCCTGATTGTTTATCCAATACTAAGTTACCAACACAGAAACAGGTACAAGTAGGCAAAACTGAGTAGATTCAGCAGGTTATATTTATGACTATTTATTTGTGTATGTAATACAAATATTTAAAGAAGAGCCCCTAAATTTGAGAGTGAGTGGAGGTTTGGCATGGGAGCGTTAGGAGGAAGGACACAAAGAGGGTAATGAAATAATTCTATTTTAATGAAACTTTTAAAGATCTGAAGGTCTGTTATGAGCATTGCTTTTTACACTCCAAGAGTCTTCATTGATGTGTGGGTCACTACATCAGTCAAATGCTGATTCTCAGCCTCAGGCTGGGCTACTGAAGCAGAACCTCTACTTGCAAATCTGCTTCTGGAGCACCCAATCAGGAAGCCCAGTATCCAAATAGCAACTTTCACTGTGGTTCATGCATTGGAAGTGTGTTCACTAGCTTAAGGGACTGTGGAAATTTATTTTTCCTTTTACAATAACATAGCACTTTAAAGAAGAAAAATCACAGAGTCTATAATATATTTCCTCTTCATTCTTTTATTCACTTTGACTGAGTTTAGTATTTCAGAGTGATGTTTCTTTCCATACATTGGTACTACAATGTGTGTTTTGGAAATTTTAATTAATTAATTCCATAGTTAATCCCACATTTGAAGCCAATGCCCATTTTTTGTTATTTTCTATTATTAAACAATTTTTTAATTTAAATATGTTTTGACCATATTCTTCCCCTCTCCAAAGGCCTTAAGGATCCCTCCACCCAGCAAAGTTTAAGTTTTTTTTCAAAAGCAAACAAAAGCCCAATACAACAGAAAATTACCCAAAACAAAGGAGAAAACACAAAACAGTACCAAAAACAAACACTAAAATGTAACTAAATCAAAGTATACACATGTAGCTAGAGTTTTCCTGCCTTGCCCACAGTCAAGACAAATCTCTCTCACCCACCAGTCCCACAGCTGCTCAGACCCAACCAAGTAAACACAGAGACTTATATTGCTTACAAACTGTATGGCCGTGGCAGGCTTCTTGCTAACTGTTCCTACAGTTCAAATTAATCCATCTTTATAAATCTATACCTTGCCACGTGGCTCATGACTTACCAGCATCTTCACATGCTGTTTGTCATCGTGGCGGCTGACAGTGTCTCTCTGACTCAGCCTTCCACTTCCCAGCTTTGTTCTCCTCCTTGTCCCGCCTATACTTCCTCCTGCCTGACTACTGGCCAATCAGTGTTTTATTTACCAACCAATCAGAGCAACACATTTGCCACACAGAACATCCCACTGCACACACACGCACACACACACACACACACACACACACACACACACACACACACACACACACTGTAGAGTCCATAATATATTGGGCAACTACTGCTGAGAATGAAGCCTGTCCTGGAGTGGTTGATATTCCCAGTGTCACTCCATTTGGAAAGAAACCTGGTTTTTTTCTCTCTCAACACATATAAAAGACAGCTCAGTTGTTTCCCTTTTCTCCAGTGACTAGGTTTTCATTTATGCATTCATTCTCTAATGTAACAAAATAAAATATAGAAAGACAAAAACTAATATCAAAGCTGGGGAAGAAAAGCTAACAAAAGAAAAGAGTCTAAGGGAAGATGCAAGAATCAGATACACAGTCATTTGCATACTCAAGAATACCATAAATACACTGGGAGCCAAAATATATACACAGAGGACCCGGTAGATACCTGCAAAGGCCCTATTCATGCTTCTTCAGTCTCTTGGTGTTCATATGACATTTCATCATGTTGAATTGGAGTGTTGTATTCTTGTTTTTCTTGGTATTCTCATCCCCATTGCCTCATAGAGTCTTCCAGACTCCTTTTCTGTGGATTTCCTGGGCTCTGAGGAGAGGGATTTGGTGGAGATATCCCACTTAAGACTGAGTGTTCCAAATGCTCTCACTATCTGCCTATTGTCTGGTTGTCGTTCTCTACATTTGTTCCCATCAGCTGCAGGAGGAGTCTTCTCTCATGATGACTGAGCAAGGCTCTTATCTACAAGTAAAACAGAATATCATTAGGAGTCATTTTATCCATTCATTTCTTTGGTTTTTTTTTTACTACAGTATTATTTGCTCTCAGTCACTGATATATCTATTTGTAGGTTCTTGGTCATCTAAGCAGTGCCAATCTTAGTTCCATCTAATGGAGTATGTCATAAGTCAAATCAGTTATTTGTTGGTTACTCCCACATGTATTGTGCCACCATTGCCCTTGCATATCTCGCAGGCAGTACACCATTGTAGATAAAGTGCAGTGTACATTCCTGTGTCAAAGATGGTAGAACAAAGCAAGTGAAGACTCTGTGTAGGCACCAGCTTTAATCATTGACATAAAATGTCTTACCTCATTTTAGCTCTTTCTGATCTGGAGATCCTGGCCCAATCAATCACATTTTTTTTTGCTGGCTATGAGACAACAAGCACTGCTCTTTCCTTTATTACGTATTTACTGGCGATTCACCCCAATGTTCAGAAGAAACTTCAGAATGAGATTGATACAGTCCTGCCCAATAAGGTGAGTGGATGGTGCTGAAAGCTACAGGGACAATGTCAAACCTCAATGTGAAACACACTTCTGTACTTGAATTTAGAATTACAGTAAATACAGAAAGAATTGATTCTTTCAGCCATAACCTGTGAAAATCTAAAACAAAGAAAAATTATGTGTAGAGAAAAACTAATCTCTGTAATCCTGTAATATCTACTATCTCTAACTACAATGAAACAAATCAAAAACTTGCATAAAATCTCTTTAGATTTTTAGGGATAAGCAAGTGTCAGTTAAGTTTCTTCTTTAAACTCAAATGGGTGTTTTGCCGGCATGTATATATCTGTAACATATGCATATCTAAAATATGAGGAAGCCAGAAAATTGCCTCAGATTTCCTGTAATTAGATTTCTAGGAAATGTGCTTACCCTATATGTACTGGGAACTGAACCTGGGTCCTCTGTAAGAGTAAACAGTGCTCTTAACCATACCCCTAGAACTTAAACAAATGACCTGATAGCTGTATTATTTTTACTGGAAATTCTTTGGCATGACTCATATGATTGGTGTCTTGTGTGGTCCTTTCTGGGCAGGCTGATTTAGCTATACTCTTCATTATTCCTCTCTCTAACCACATAATTAGAATAAAACAAATGGCATCATGGCAGCTTTCAGCTTAAACTGTTCACCTCTACATTATGGTAGCTTCAGAGTCCCACAATGTGAAAACCACACATCATATGAGCTGTCTTCTCATCTATGCCCCAAACTGGATGCAATGGGTTGTGTGGTACCTGAACTCTGTGACTGGCTGGATTGTCAATGACATGTATTCAAATCATCTTCAGACCTCATGCTCACCCCCTCTTCTTGTTTCATTCTGTCACTGTGACAAATGCCATGATCCAAAACAACTATGGGGAGGAAAATATTTACCTTAGCCTACATTTTCACATGACAGGCTAACACTGAGGACAGTCATTGCAGGAACTCAAGATACAGACTTTTAGTCAGGACTGCCTGCCACTCTACACAGCACTGCTTCTGACCAAGGTACTCATACACAGCCAAAGAAGCACAGCAGGACCTATGAAGGTTGCTGACTGCCCTCTGGCCAACTCAATGATATATCATTATCTAGTTGTTTTCATGCAGCCCAGGGTCATCAAATCCGAAAATAGTACTACATGCAAATTGCTAGACCCTCCTACATCAATGGACCTTTAGGGCATCAACTCTCCCACATACATGCACAATCCAATCTAAACTAGCAATCCCTAATTGATTAATATAGACCTCCTTTTCAGATGACTTTAGCTTGTGGTATGTTGAAAGTTAGAGATTTAATAGAACAACATATGAAGTAACAAGGAAAAGTTCCTTTCAGAAACTGAGCATGGAGCTGAATGGTTCTCTCACAGAATAGAAACTTTTTGCTCAATTGATCTCCATTTTTAGGCTGTTTTACCATGAAGAGTTTCAAAGAGAAAAGATTCAAATGAAGTTAGTCACTGTAATTTCATATACTATTCCTATTTAATATGGCATTGATATTCAACTTGGACATCTATAGTAATAAGATAAATTCAGTCATAGAACTTAAAAAGTGTGAATTGTACTCTGAAAGGATTGATATAGAATTTTAAAAAGGAATTTAATGTTCCCCACATTATATTTCCTCAGTCTGGACTTGTGGATTCCCTATATTAAATTTTGACACCCTTAACAGCTGATTTATGTTGAGTGAGATTGACAAAATATGCCACTCATTATTAATGAAAGGAAAACAGTACAAATGAGAAAACTGAAGACTTGGGACCTAAGTGTAAGCTTTTGTGAATGGTCTTTCATATTCACTTCACCATGCATTTCAGTGGACCTTTAGTATGTCAACACATGACTGTGGTGATTAGGGCTTATCAATGGTAAATCCAAGCATTAATCTGGGTTGAATGTGGAGTTCCTAAAAACTTAATAGTACTGTGAAGATTGACATGAAAGTTAGTTTCAAATCTCAAACCAGCAAAATCTTTTTTTTTATTTTCCCAGGCACCTGCCACTTATGAAGCCCTGGTAGAGATGGAATATCTGGACATGGTGGTGAATGAAACTCTGAGATTATACCCAGTTGCTAACAGGGTTAACAGGCTCAGTAAGAAAGATGCTGAAATCAATGGTGTGTTCATTCCCAAAGGGACACAGGTGGTCATACCTATCTATGTTCTTCACCAAGACCCAAGATACTGGCCAGAGCCTGAGAAATTCCATCCTGAAAGGTATGAGGTCCCTGAGAATGGGAACACACACATAACCAAACTTCTCTCAGTATGTTAAGACATCTCTTACTTTAATCACTTAAATATAAATTTGTATTACCTTGCTGCATTTAAGTTTGATTTTAGAATGCCATTAGTACATAATGATAATTATTGTAAAAACTACAGACATTTTAATGGACCAAAAAGTGACATTTCTATATTTTGTAATTTTGTTATAGAGGCTTAAACCTGTCTTAGTTAGGGTTTTTAAAATTGTGAAGAGATACTATGACCATTGTAACTCTTATAAAGGAAAATATTTCTTTGGGGCTGCCTTATGGTTTCAGAGGTTTATTTAGTCCATTATCATCATGGCAGAAAACATGGCAGCATGCAGACAGACATTGAGCTGGGGAAGCAGGTGAGAGTTCTACATCCAGATCAGCAGGCAGCAGGGAGAGAAGAAAGACAATAGTCTTGGCTTGAGCTTCTGAGACCTCAAAGCCTACCACCAGTGACACTTTACCACAAAGGGCCATACCTTCCAATAGTGCCAGTTGCTATGAGCCTATGGGGCTATTTTCATTCAAACTACCACAAAATCTTAATATAAATTCCATTAATATAATGACATCATTGGACATATTTGGAAATGTGTGTAGATCTTTAGATATTAGAAAAAAATATCAGTTTTTAACTGTATTTATAATTGCTGATTACTTTCTATAATCTATAATTGCTATTTTAAGACAGGTGCTTCAGTGTGTGTGTGCATGTGTGTGTGTGTTTGTGTGTGTGTGTGTGTGTGTGTGTGTGTGTGTGTGTGTGTGTGTGTGTGTTTCAAAGAGGGCAAGTAAAAGTACCATGATTAGGAAATTAATTATCTTATTTAAATTGTGAAGTTTATATTTCTTTACTCTGGACCCATCCCAAAATATAGGAATAATTTCCCAAATATAGGAATCCATTGTATTAGCCATTGGTGCAGGTAGAGGTGCAGAAAGCCTCCTCTCAGATGGTCTAAGGTGCATCGCTGAGGATGAATGTTAATATAAGTCCCCTTAGTCTTATTCCTGTCTGTTTTGTGAAGGAAATTCCCTCACACTTATCCAGTGGGTGAGTCCTCCAAAGTCAAGTAATCTACTCATTAGAAAGTTGTTACTTTCATCCTTCTTGAATCAGAATCAGGGTATTCTGTTAGTGGAAAATAATGCCCAGTCTGTGGGAATTGTTTGCAACATGGAAACAGTTGCTAGGTTGCCATTGTTGCCCCACTAATATAAGTACAGGATCATATTTTATCTTTTTTTAAGTTTTGAGATTGTAAGTTAGAATATCATTTCTTCATTCATCTCCTCACTCCAAATTCTCCTATAGATCCATCCCCACATTTCTTCATGTATATGGCCTCTTTTTTCACAAAATGTTATTTAGGTGCTCACATGCAGGTGTGTGGATATACATATATATTCCTATAAATAACCTGTCCAATCCACATCATGCTACTTATATAAAAATGATATTTTTAAAATAGATGCAGCTGAATCAGAAAGCCAAGAATTTAGACAAATAGTAGTATCTTTTATGAAGTTCTTGATGCCTAAAACCTTGTAGTTTTAGCCATGTGTCCCTGGTGTTGGCAGATGGTCTATGTATAGTGCTTATTAGAGGAGTACAATGGAGTCACCTAACTCCTGTTTTCTGATTAGGTGAATTCTATGTCCCTCTATGCAGCCACCACTTCAACCTCCTTTAGTTCAGTGTCTACAAACTTGGACATTATTCATTTTGTGTCTCTATTGTTGTTTCTGATCTCCATCATATAATATGTGACACAGTGTCATCAGTGACTAGACCAGGGAAGAGGAATGCAAAAGTTAAAGAATTCTGATGTTTTAATCAAATGTAGTACATAAGATGTCTACAGAAGAATGCCAATGTTTCCCGTCTGTTTGAGTGTGTGTGTGTGTGTGTGTGTGTGTGTGTGTGTGTGTGTGTGTGTGTAAAATCTTCCCAACAGGATTCCACCTAGTTCACATTGCACACACATACCAGTACAACTTTCATTAGACTCCATTGCAATTCTATAGAATAGCTTAGAAAGTATTTCTTCATCTTCCCTGATTCTTTATAACGCTCAGAGAATAGATGGTTATTAGTCCTCTAGCACATTTCTAGAATCAGCATTTTTATTTAAATAATCATGTGAGAAATCAAATTTTCATTGGACATAGGTCTGTACTTTTAGTTGTTTTTCCCCTAATGGAGGAGATGGAGAAAAAATTCAGTGATAACAGAAGCAGCATGTCCCTTGAAAAGTACTTCACTTAATAACTCTTGGAAGATGGAGAGGCAGTCCAAGACCACGTGACAGGGACTTAATGAGGAAGAGGAGGAAGATGAGGAAAATGATTTGCATGAGTACAATAAAACAAAGACATGAAGGAATGAGAGGATGTTGAAGAGAGAACGGAATATTAACAGTTCATTTATAACATACATCTCCTCATTCTCCAATGAACAAATCCCCAACTCAAGTGTTATGGTCAGGGCAATTCCTTCCTTCATCAGTTTTACTTTCTAATGTTCACACTCTGGGAACACAAGATATCCTTAGTATTTTAAACTTTAAAGAAACGTTTGCCATCAATGATCATTCACTATTTATCATCTTATTAACTTCAGGAGCTCTTTTACTGTAAAGTTGTAAAAAGAACTTTAACTTTTAAATCTCAAAATGAATTAACTCATGCTGATTGGAATAATGAACATACTGGAGTGACCTGTATGATTCTGGCTGAGGACTGTAGGTGAAAACTGTAAACATTTGGCTCTTGCGCATTTCATGTTTCATTTTTTGTGTTCTTGTTCAATTGTGACACCAGGTTCAGCAAGGAGAATAAAGACAGAATCAATCCTTATACATATCTGCCTTTTGGATATGGTCCTAGAAACTGCATTGGTATGAGGTTTGCTCTCATTAACATGAAGCTTGCTATTGTCAAAATCCTGCAGAACTTTTCCCTACATCCTTGTGAAGAAACAGAGGTGAGACAGAACATATTCTTTTTGGCATGTTTTTGTTTTTTATTCATAGGCATTTTCATAAACTGGTGGATATATATATTAACTTATGTATGAAATGTATATAGAGAATATACAGTTTTATCTTTAATTGATATTTTCTCTGTCATGAGATCTGTATAAAGCCATGAGTGAGCTCTAGGGCCCTTGAATTCTGAAATAGTTAGTCTATGTCTAAGTGTAAATGTTAAGATCACGCAGAGTCATTGAAGATATTCTTTTTATGTTTACATATAGTATCATTGAATTTGAGTATTTTTTCTTGTTAGAAGTATACATGCCTTTTTAAAATAACAGACTTTTATAGCATTTTCATACTTGTATATGCCACACATGGAATAGATTATATTTTTTTATTTATTCTGCTCTCATTAAATACATCCTGACCCCAGCCTCCTCTCTCCTTCCTCCCCTCATCCCAGTGCCCCCTCAACATCTTCTATCTCTCTGATCCACTGCTCTTCCATTTCTCATGAGAAAAGATCAGGCCACCCAGGGATATCAACCAAACACGGTATAAAAATATGCAATGAGACTGGGCATATGCTCATATCAAGGCTGGGTTAAACAACCCAGTAGGAGGAAAAGGGTCCCATGAGCAGGCAAAAAAGTCAGAGACACAAACACTCCCAGTGTTAGGATTTCTACAAAAACCCCAAGCTAAACAACCACAGCATGTATGCAGCAGGCCTTGCATAGACCCATGAAGGTTCCATGATTGCTGCTTCAGTCTCTGAGTCCCTATGAGCCCTGCTTAGTTGATTCTGTGGGCCATGTTCTCCTGGTATCCTGAAACTCTATGACTCTTACAATTATGGAATATATTTTTAAATTTTGTTTCAGTTTACCTATGTATATGTACATGTTTTGTCTCTTAGAAGTGTAATGATCACTTTATGATCCCTGTGTGATCTCAGAATGTCCAAAATGTTTCACCCACCAAAGTGGCTTTACTCATTCGACAGAGGTACCCATTTATAGCCAGAGACAAAAATCACTGCATTAAATCATTTTTCAGGGATATGAAGGACTCCTTTTTTTGTTCATTTTATACACTTGGCCTCACATTTTAGGAACTCAGGTCTAGACTAGCAGGCATCCTCTTACATTCTTATAAATACATCTGTTTCTTCCCTTTTTATTCATAATTATTTCTTATTCTACAAGTTCATATCAATGAAGTCCCTTCCCAGCCAAGAACTTTCACTAGATTTTCTTGGTGTAATTTACTTCTGTCTTCTAGATATGGTGTCTTCAGGCTGCCACTGTTCCCCAAAACCCAAACCTATGAACTACCCCATGCACTTCCCACTGTTATTTTAATCTTTGTTCATCCCCTACTTTCTAAATTACCTAACTTTATTCTCTCCAAAAATTAAAATGATGCTTTGGAGGACATTTGCATATTAAAATCCTTCAATAAATACATTAAACATTTTAAACTATTCTAAATACTAAAAACTGACAAAATTATTTTTATAGATGCATTTCTGTATGTATGCTTTTAAACATTGTTATTAATTCTTGGAGAATTCATACAATGCATTTTGATCACATTCACCCCCTTACCACAGTTTATCCCAGTTCCATCCCAACCTCAACTCACACTCAATGTGTTCTTTTCCCATTTTTCTCTCTAATTTTTAAGTCAATCAAGTCCATTTTCTGTGGCATGACTGCTCTTATGTGTGTGGTCTTGTCTCAAATCTTGTTTATTTAAGAGAGTTCACAGCATTAATAATAAAAACTACCTTTCACAGTAAATATCAAACATCAAAGCTCCTCAGCCATGGGTTTATATTCTATGATTCTATACACACACACACACACACACACACACACACACACACACACACACACACACCATTTCAGCTTGAGTTTGCACATGTCACATGTCTTGTGCATGCTGTCACACCATTGTAAGTTTATATGTGCATCTGTGAGGTAGATCACTGAATCTACTCTGAGAAAAAGAAATAATAGGATGAATGCGTAGATCACTGAATCTATTCTAAAAAGAAAAAGGGGAAGATATAAAAACGACAAAAGTTAGATTACTGAATCTATTATGAAAAGAAAAAAACTTTAAAAAAGGAATTACCTGTTTTAAATAGGACAAGTAATGAAATTTTTTTTGTCTGAGTTTATCAAATGTTACTGGAATGGACATTGTTAATATATATACTGGAGTTTTTCATCTGAATCTGTCAAATGTTAATGGACTAGACATCATAAATGTAATTCTTGACTGTATATATTATATATACTTATTGGATAGTTTTTCTTGTATTAGTTATAAGATTTTTTAAATTTTAGACAATAAAAGGGGAAATGTGGTGGTATTGTGTTCCCTGAAATATTGTGCACACTAATAAACTTATCTGGGGTCAGAGACAGAACAGTCACAATATTAAACATAGAGGTTAGGCAGTGGTAGCACATGCCTTTAATCCTAGCATTCCAGAGGCAGAAATCCATCTGTTCAAGGATACAGCCAAGCATGGTGACTCACGCCTTTAATCCCAGAAAGCGAGCCTTTAATCCCAGGGAGTGATGGTAGAAAGCAGAAAGGTATATAAGGACTGAGAACCAGAAACTAGAAGCATTTGGCTGGTTAAGCATTTGGCTGGTTAAGCATTTGGCAGGTTAAGCTTTTAGGCTTTAGAGCAGCAGTTCAGCTGAGATTCATTTGGATAAGACTCAGAGGCTTCAAGTCTGAGGAAACAGGATCAGCTGAGGAACAGGTGAGGTGGGGTAGCTGCGGCTTGTTCTGCTTCTCTGATCTTCCAGCATTCACCCTAATACCAGGCCCTGAGTTTGTTTTATTAATAAGACACTTTAAGATTCCTGCTACACATCTGCCTTGTTCTCTCTAGAAAATACTGTTTCCTTGAAGTCCGTGTCCACATCTAGTCTTACAAATCCTCAGCCCCCTTTTGTGTACACTGTTAATCTAAGGTGTCACATTGAGAAACATGTTTGAAAAGATCTCTTCTGAAGAACTTAAGAATATGTTGTCATTACCTTAAATGAAGCAATACTCAACAAGTTTAATTTCATGACCTTTGTAATAAATATTACTCAGTAAATCTTCCTCATGGAAGAAGAATATTATGTGGTCATTATTCTTTGGTGACTTTAGGTCAACTGTCCTCCTGCTCTGTACTTTAATACAGTTGAGTGACTTTGTTTTGATGATAGGCAATCTGTAGGCATCTGACAATCTTTAACAAACTCTAACTACCTACAAGATGGCCTTTCTCAAACTATGAGACAACAATTGCACATTCTTCTGCTGACACTGGATTATTACTCTGTAAGAGGGCCTTCTCTTTCACAAACTGACAAGAATGTCATCTAAAAAATTAGTAAAAGTGAGTGCAAATTCCCCTTTTAGTACCATCTTAGAATTTTAGAAGAGATAAGATTAATGCCATAGAGGTACCCAAAGTCCCCCACACACATTCATGAACCTTCATGTATCAGATTGGAAAGTAAATGCATCATGGTAGTATTACCATGTACCAAACCTACTCACGGTTTTCTTTCCAGTTTTACAAAATGAAAATTAACTTTATATAACCTTTTAAAATGTGCTTGCTATATGTTCAGAAATGTGCTTTACAAATTTCAAACTTCTAATTTTCAGTTAAAATTTAGAACAATAAAGAAGACAGCTATCACAATTTTGTCTCAGACCTTTTACAGATTAGGTGTTCCATATGTATGTTGAAGTATGAATAGATTGAAGTATGTTTTTTTTATTCTGTATAAGAAATTCTAGAGGTTTGCTGTTTGTCTTAGTTGGGGTTTCTATTGTAATGAAGAGACACCATGACTATGGCAACTCCTACAAAGGAAAACATTTTTATTGAGGTGACACCTTACAGTTTCAGAGGATTAGTCCATTATCCTCATGACAGAGAACACAATGGCCTGGAGGCAGACATGGTGCTGGGGAATTCTTTATCTGAATACAAAGGCAACAGGAAGTGGCCTGAGACATGGGCACGGGTTGAGTATATGAGAACTCAAGGCTTACCTCCACAGTGACATACTTCCTATAAATCCACATCTACTCCAACAGGAACATACATCCTAATAGTGCCACTCCCACTGGGGGTCATTGTCTTTCAAAACACCATAGTGTTAAAAGTCTTTTATTCACATATAAAGATAGATTTATTTATTTCTAGAAAGCAATCCATATTGTTCAAGATGGTACAGAACATGCTATGTAACCAAGCAAGTCTTAACCTTGTATTTCTCCTCCCTCTTACTTCTGAATGTTATGGGTCACAGCCATGAGAAAACAGAGGAAGAAACCACTATTGTTCTTAATATATTGGATCTGTCAGCCTTCTGTGTAATTGATGATTTATTTAACTCATCAATGTATTTTTTCAACTATTTCAGATTCCCTTGATATTAGGTAAGAAAATCACTCATGCTCCAGAAAAGCCAATTGTCCTGAGGATTATATCAAGAAATGGAGCCGTAAATGAAGGTTGATTTTATCTCAAGTTCTGATATGTTCTTCAAAGTGTTCATTCTAAATACCTGGATTTTAATTCAATCCTGAAGGAAACCTACATGAATATGAATATTATCTACCAGATGTCATGACACAGTCTTCAATTATTTTTCATTGTCTCGACTTTGTGTATGGAAGGAAAATGATTATTTAGAAATCTTTATGTTCTATCATGTCAAAATTTGCCCAGTTTCCCAAAGATAGACCAATATGATTCATTGCAATGCTGAAAAATGATTTCTCATTAATATTGTCAATACTGTTTCCATTATAGAATCTTTAATTTCTCATTTATGGGTGAGCATTCCACTGACAATTATTCTTTGCACTTTGATGGATTGTCAGTTTCTTTGTTAACCACTATCCACTTCAAAAGCAGTTTCTTTGATTATGTCTGAGGGCTACATTAATATTGGTAAACAATGCAAATTTAGAAGGCAGTTGGATATTAAGACCATTTATCAGAATAATAGATCCATTCTTGTGTCTGTGAGCTCCTCTCCATGGGTCTTTGGCTAGAGAACTAAGCATGTGTTTCCTCTTATGGAACGGAGTTAAATCCAAAGAGAAAGTGGTTGGCTACCCCTATTATATTAGTGCCATTATCCAATATATACACCCCTATCTTGCCATGATGGTCATTATAGGAGTTCATGAGATTTACTGCTAAGTAAGAAAAACTGTTGATTTCTTTTCCCCTAAAGAATCCTTGCAAGAACCTTAGAGTAATATAAAAAATTGTCATCAAAGAGAAAGTTTCCTGGTCAGTGCAATGTTGACATGTCCAATAACCTATGTATTTACTGTCTTCTGTAATAGGATGTTTCCCTGGTGTTCTGCTTTGTAAACAAGAGCAATGGCAGTCTTTCTGGGGATGTCATTTTGTATGCTGTGAATATGTTGCTCTGATTGATTGATAAATAAAACACTTATTGGCTAGTGGCCGGGCAGGAAGTATAGTATAGACGGGATAAGTAGAGAGAATGCTGGGAAGTGGAAGCCTGACTCAGGAGACTGCCAGCCACCACCACCATAAGTAAGATGTAAAGATACCAGTAAGCCACGTGACAAGTCATAGATTTATAGAAATGGGTTAATTTAAGATGTAAGATCTAGCTAGCAAGAAACCTGAGTCATTAGGCCAAAAAGTTTTAATTAATATAAGCCTCTGTGTGTTTATTTGGGTCTGAGTGGCTGTGGGCCCAGGCGGAACTGGAGAAAACTCCAGCTACACAGTCTCCTGTAATTTTAGGTGTTCTTCACGACAACTCTGGTGAACAATCTAAGTGTAGATATTCTACATCGGGTAATGGGCTATTTAATAGACACCTTTGGCTTCTCAAAGGACAATAATCCTTAATGTAGAGCATGTTTTCATACGTACATGTAAAGATGATCAAAATGTAGCTTTCCATCCTGGTTTGTTTCAATTGCCCACAAACTCTATCCAGTCCTCACAACGGTACAAACCAAAAGTAAAACAAGAGAGAGAGAGAGAGAGATGACTGATCCTTGAACTAGGTTAGTCAGGTAAAACATGTCACTACCTTCTGCAAAGGGGTCAGGGAGATACTCACAAACTCTATGCATTGCAGAATTTCCTGTTCAGTGAGTGCCCATTGTAGGGGTTCCTTTTTTCTCATAGCCCATTGGCCACCATGCTACAGAGACAAAGAAAGTAGAATCACTGAGCAGGGCTTGAATGACTACAGTATGATGGAAAGAACCTCTAAGTGTGCTCAATTTCATTCCAGAGAGTGCGGAGAATATATAGGATGGGGACAGCAGCTGGGGCATCATCTAGTTGGTGCTCATAGTATACTTTGTTTGCATTTGAGTTGAACAGCACCCTGGTAAAGAAGGAAGAGGGAGATTAGAAAGAAAGGAAAGAAGAAAGAAAGGAAATGAGGAGGGAAGAAGGAAGGAAGAAGTAGAAAAAGACAATTTAATTTTTAGGAGTGATCCTATCTCAGGTATACTATATCAACATAAAACATAAAAAAAGAGCAATGAGCTCTAAGTGGTGCAACTTTCACAGCCATAATTTTCCATTTACCTACTTTTGTAGAAATACTTTTTCTTCCATGGTAATACAAGAATGGTGCACCCAGTCCATGTGTATTAGTTACTTTCCTACTGCTGTCACAAAACACAATGCTCAAGAGAATTTATAAAAGATGTGTTTAACTGGATTTATGATTTCAGAGAGCTGGTGCCATAATGGTAGATCAATATCATTGTTTGGGCCTCCAGCCTCCATATGGTTCTCTGAAATGTCTTCCTAGCTGCTACAAGGACAGGCCATTAAATTCTGTCTATAGCATTGAAACCTATTTTCTAGTTTAAAACCCCAATGTCATTCACATTCCTCTGAAAACAACATGGGTAGGCCTGTTACAACAATAGCCCACTCTCTGGTAACACAGTCCTTCTTGTTATTTTTTTATTTCTGAGTCAAAACACCATGACCAAGACAATATCTCAAAGAAAGCATTTAATTGGGATTATAGTTTCAGAGTATTAAAGTTTGTTGTTGTGAAACAAAGGCATGCAGACAGGACAGCTGAGAGCTCATATCTGGATCCAGAAGCAGGAGACTGAGAGGACACTGAAAATGACTAAACCTTTTGAAACCTCAAAGCCTACTCCCAGTAACACAACTCATTCAACTGGCTTACACCTCATAACCCTTCTTAAAGAGTTCAACCAAATGGAGAACAAATATTCGAACATTTGTGCCCATGGGAACAATTTTCATTCAAATGATTAATAGATGGAACTCTAGAACTCCATAGATCTGCCTTCATTGAGTTTGTGCTGCCTCTACAGACAGTTTACATCAAAATACCTCTTTGGGTGCCTAGTCTGGTTTCCTTTAGAATAGTGTTGTACACACTTGCCCTACAGTTCTGTCCCTCTCAATGAATCATAGTACATAGCACAGTGAAATCCTAATTCAGACAGCTGCACTAGCTCCTGCCGCCCAGGAATATGCCTTGTGATTGATCAAAATAGAGTGTTGTGTTTTTGAAATAAGAAATCGTGTAAACTGAGTTATTAAGAACTCAAGGAAAATCCTTGGGGTTCGTGGTACCACAATGACATGTCTCCACAGAAAGCCATTACCAATGCCTGAATAATTATGTATATTCTTTTATTGTATTGTAGTGAATTCACTATTTCCATACACTCATCAAAGAAGACCTTAATTTGGTGATAGCTAAAGATAACATCTTGGGAACTGAGGAGATTTATGAGACTGGAGCTAGTGTCTTCTTTTTTCTCTGCTCCTTGATGTTGACTGAGTTCATAAATCTGCATGAACTTGAAAAATATTTTATTACTTCCAGTGATTCTTAAGTTGTTTTCTTGTTTGTTATGGTATATACAATTCATCTCTTTCTTTATAAAACTTTATTATATTTGGAAATTTTATCTGTGTGCCCCTGTGGTCTCCATCTCGTGTCACTGCATGGAGTTGGAGGTAAGAGGACAACTTTCATGAGTCATTTCATTCTTGTCTCTACATTGGCTGCACAGGTCAGTTCAGCTTGTCAGCCTGGGTGTCAGGTTTTTTAACCCAATGAAATATCTTTGCAGTTCTATAGCTTTACTTCTGAGTAAAATAATTAAGAAAAGTTTCATTTATAAGAGTCCAAATAAGAGACCTGATGGAATTTTCCTTTTTAAAAATGAGTTACTTCTGGAAAGATGAAGTGCACAGATATTAAAACACTAAAATAATGCATTAGGATAAGGCTTTAGGTTTACCAAGAATTGTTTTTATATTTTCAAAGTCTTGTCTGATTCAAGAAATGTCCTTCTTAAGGCTTTCATATTCCTTTGCATTGTAAATTGGATTTGAATACATTTTTCTAAGTACTCCTTCTGAAATGACTTCAAGATAATGACTGCAAAGATAACTTTTTCTTTGTTAATCAGTATCTTTAGATAATTCTATCCAGATAAGTGAATAATTTGTATTTTGAAAACCAAAACAACTTTAAAACATTGAAGAAAGACATTGACAATTAAACGAGAAGATGGAATGCTATCTGATCAGAAGGATTATTATTGTGAAAACTTTCCTGCTACCTAAAGCCACCTACGGACTCAGTGTAATACCAACTAAAACATGTTCAACATGAGTCTTAGCAAAAATGAAACAACAAAAAAATAATGTTCAACTTCATATGGAGACATAGTCACATATACAGAGAGTGTCTTAGGGTTTGTTAAAAAGACACCATGACTATGGCAAAATTATTCAGGAAAACATTTAATTGGAATGGTTTACAGGTTTAGAGGTTTAGAACATTATCATTATCGTGGGTGGCATGCAGGCTGGAGAGAGCTGAGAATCCTACATCTTGTTCTACAGGCAACAGGAAGTGGTCTGAGACACTGGGCATAGCTTTGGCATAGGAGACAGTGACACACTGCCTTCAACAAAACCACACCTCCTAATAATGCCACTCCTGGTGAGCTTTTGGAGCCAATTACATCCAAACGAACACACATACACACAACTAAAACATTGTGAATAATAAAAAAGTATTAGCGGTATCCATCACTATCCTAGTATTTAAGTTGTACAAAGATCTATAGTAATAAAAACACCATGATTGTCATAAAAACAGACACATTGACCAATGGGATTGAACTAAAGACTTAGAATTAAGTCCACACTTCTATGAACATCTCATTTCTAAACAAAAGGAAAGAATTCACACTGGAGTAGAGAGCATTTTCATCAGTGGTGCTCATCAAACTGCTTGATTGCATTAGAAGAATGCAAGCAGATCTGTGTTTAAGACCCTGCAAAAACTCTACTGAAAGTGAACCAAAGACCCCAACATAAGACCAGACACAGTGAATCTGATAAAATAGAAAATGGGGAATTGATTTGAACTCATTAGCACTGAAAATATTTTCTAATCAGTAATTTAATAGCACAAGAACTCAGACCAATGATTGA